CCTAATTTCTCGTAGGTTGCTTTTGGCAAGTGAATTATAGGTAGTTCACAATAAGAAACTAGAGTATTTGTCCAGAAGTGGGGACAGAAGTGTTTGCTTGTTTTGTTTTTTTTTTTAATAAACAAGGTATATACTCCTTTTCAGATCTGTACGTTCCCATCTATTGCAGTATCTTACATTTAGGCATTCAGAGTCACTTAAGCAGCTGCTATAGTGGTCTGTTATGTAGAAATCATGGAAAGTGATAAAAACATTAGTGTTTATGTAGCTTTGCCAGGGCTTGTATGCCTGAAATGCATTTTTTGTTTGTTTGTTTGTTTTGCGTGATATACCTATTTTGGGATCACTGGGGACTTGAACATGGATTCTAATTTGGAACATCCTGCAGTTTAGTTACACGAGAGTATTTTAATAGTTTCCTGTAGGATTTAATGTGCCACTCAAACTGCAGAGAAAGACCGGTATGTAACATCTGTGTGATTGTAGTGAGATGATGTGCGTTAGAAGAGGATTACTTGACTCTGCTTTTCTAGTGGATTGCCTTCCTAATGGATGTTAACCATCAGCTCCCCAATAGCACAGACTTCTAATAAGTTGTTTTGTTCCCCCCTCCCCCTTTTTCTCAGCTTTTTTGGAAAAGATCCCTTACTACTGCATACGTAAAGCTGAATTGTTCGCACATGGGAGTCAGTCGGAGTTGTTGCTCTGAATTTCGTAGAGTTAAATATTTGATTCATGTCCCTTTAATGCTATTGTAGAAATTTCACATGCTTTACAAATGTTTCCGTAACTTGCATATTCAGATATTTATCCAAACATAATTGCAATGGGTTTTCCTGCGGAGAGGCTTGAAGGAGTATACCGGAACAACATTGATGATGTAGTAAGGTAAGCCTTTGTTTTTCTTAAGTTGTTCTTGTAAATCTTCAGTATCCTCTTCTGCACTCATTTGTGTTCTACTGAGGAAAGGATGTGTCTTCTGACTTATAAAAATGGTAAGATTTTTGCATCTTGTAGATGTTGCTTTATTAGCTTTCCTGAAGAATGTTGGAAACAACGAAAGTGGTATTTTCAAGAATTTTAGACCAGGCTGCTGTTCTGGCTTGGTCTCAAACTCCTGTAATCTGCTTTTGAGTGTGAAAAATTTACTTCAGTAGATTGTGTTGGAGTAAAAGGAGATTCTTTTCTTTTAGAAAGATGTCAGTCTGTGCCTCTGTTCACACTGTTGAGAGTTTCCTCATATAGCTGATGGCATTTCAGAATGTGTTTGCCCATATTCTTTCTTCAATTGATAAGTATAGGTGACCTTATTTAAAGGCCTTTACATGTGGCTGTGTTCGATAATTGTGGATGAGGACAAAAATCAGCTAAAATTTGTTAGTGATGCTTTATAGCACATTTAGTAAAAAAAAAAACAAAACAAAAACCAAACAACAAAAAACCCCTGCAAAAACCCAAAATAAAACCAAACAACCCTACAGGTTGTCATTTTTAACATCAAATAAAGTTACCTACTCTGAACTGCTGGATACAATTGTAGATGATGTACTTAGTGTTTTAGGAGCAATGTTGTAATTTGTTTAGTCAACACCATACCTGGGGAATGTAGTGTGAAGGGGTTGCATTAAAAGCTAAATACTTGGCAGAAGCTCGCAAACTTTAGTGGTTTTAGTATCCTGAGTTCTGATTTTTTGAAGTCATGCACGATGCTTTTGAGATCTTTGGGTATTTGAAGTCATAAATTCAGTAGCTCTCCAAGAGACTCGATGTTTGGGGATGTAAAAGGGCATGGTTATGCGGTGAAGTTAGAAGTAGGTGTATCTGGGCAAGAAGGTGCGGCTCCCAGGTTTGAGATACCACAGAAAGTTTCTCGTAATTGTTGGCAGGCAGAATTAGCGCTGCTTGAATTTCACTGGTAATTGTTTGCATCCAGGTTTGTACAGAAATGAGTTGAAACAGCTCCTCGGTTCTCACGCTGGGAGGAATTGTAACCCTCGACTGAGAATCGGTCGTCTGGAGGCAGCAGCTTCCCTGTGCAGCTGCAGTTAGCTTGAGAGGAGTTCGAAGGGGTTTCATTTTTGCACGTTGAATCGTTGTGATGAAGCTGTCTGTCCACGAATAGTACTGAAAACGTCAAAGGCTGGATTTCACCAGGCTTGCAGAAGCGACCTTGTTCTGTCACATGGTAGCGAGGAGAAGTTGCTTTTCCAGAGCTGGTCACATCAGGAGGTTCAGCACAGCAGTCTGTAAATACTCCTCCAGAATGTCTCTCTCTGCTAGAATTATTAACAGAGGCGTGAAGTTGTGTTTTCGAATTGTATCTTTGCACCCAAGAAAAAGCTTTTGTTGTCCTTTTGGGACAGTTAAGGACTGTCCCTCAAACTATCTAGCCATCTTTCTTTACCAGCAGAGCCACCTTTTCTTGAAGTTGATGTGGGCATTGCGTGTGCTATGTGAAATATGTGGTCCCTGATGGAGTTCATCTTTGGAAATGGTAGGATAGGGGCAAAGGCTGGGCTTGGAATACACGACGTGGGAATAATCCACATAAATAATAATAGGCAGTAGTCTTTGAAGGCCCTCTTCCATTCACAGCATTGATTTCCTTTGCTTCTGTATGAAGGAAAATGTATTTTATTGGTTAAGTACATAGATATTTATGAATTAAACTTTTGAAAAGGAATGACTGTATAATTATTAAGTTTTCCATAAACAGTCTATGAAAAGGAGTAGTGATCACTTAAAAGTGTAATCAACCACATTAAGATATGGAGAGCTGTAAATTAAGTGACTGTAGGGAACTGGGTGCTAAAATAGTGTTATGTTTGTTGCCCCCTGTTTTTAAATGAGAATAATGCACACAATGGGATCCTGCAGCATTCTGCATGTTGCAATCAGCAGGTCCTCGTCTGCTCCTGTCATCGTTTTATTGTGGAATATTTTTCCAAGAGCTTTTTATGCAGAGATTCAAGGTGTTTGAGCTCCGGAGCAGTTGGTATTGAGCTAGGATACGCCAGTGGGCTTTTTCTGAATAGTTGGTATCCTGACAAATTTAATGCTAACACTGTATGAGAATTACAACCTGAACTGCTGACTGTCTCTTGGGACTGACACTTTGAGAGGTTTTGGATGGAATTTTATCCTTAGAAAAATACTTGCATGAAAACTTACACTCAGCTTTGTGGATATTACTGGCAGAAGCGGAGTCAGCTCTCCACCGTGTTTTAAACAAGCGAGGACATCTCCTGAAACAAATCGCCATGTCCACCATCGTCCTTAATCTCTCAAAGTCTGCCAACAGGGGCACCAGTGGGAGTCATGAAATATTTTTGCCGATGAAATTGGAATCTCGTACTCGGTGCTGCACGAGGAGCGTTCACATCTGTTCCTATTTTAACGCATCGCTTTAACCACAGAGTTCTTCTAGGTTCTTCTGGAATATTATGACTGATAACCAGAGCTTGTTTTTGCTTGAGCTTTCCAGGATTTTAGCAGCTAGTGTTTCTTTTCAATTTGAACAGCATGTTCTGTCATGGCTAATTAAATTCCTTCTGGCTGATGTGCAGATACACACTGTTGATGATGTTAAGTGTAAACATTTGTATGTTATTTCTTCTTGAACATTGCCAGGTGACACATCATATATAATCACGGCAATTTTGATGAATCATGCTTGCAGTTTGGCTCTCCCAGGCTCGTATGGGATTTTTTTTTTTTTGTTACAAAGTGAACATGACAATGAAATGAGTGTGAAAAAGTATAGTGGTCTTCCTCCTCCTTTCTGAACTCAGAATATCATCGCACGCTGTCCTCAGACTTCAGTGGCAAATAATGGCCATTCTACAAACCTGGTATTAGTATAAGTGATTCTGGCTGTTCTGACTGGAATACAGAAGTTACTGTAACTGCTTTTTTCTTCGTTGAAAATACCACCATGGCAAAATATTTTGCATAGATGATTAAATTGGAAGTAAGTGTTTACGGATACTTTGTGTAATCAATGCTTTCTACTTCAAGAATAAACAACCCTTCCTCAACTTAATATATTGATGTGCAGGTATCTTTAGAAATCAGTGCAGATCAGTCCATACAATAAATATTTCAGTTGCGGGTCAGATCCTGGTCTCCTCAGTTGCATAAGTAGTCTTATTCATGCTGCTGGGTTATTTGTGTGAGTGAGGTTTGCAACACGCTGCCTCCTTGACTTTGAGGCACTTGAGGGCCAGCTGGGACTTGGAGCGCAGAACTGTACATGCTGAATGGTGCTTTAACGATGCTGCAAATTAAGGTCAAACATTATTGCGATGTATATTAATACGTGCCTTTTTTTTTTTTCCCCTACTTAAGGTTTTTGGATTCAAAGCATAAAAACCATTACAAGATATACAATCTGTAAGTATGCTCTTATAGATCTATTTTCCAAAATAATGAGTTCTAAAAATAGCTTATGACTGAAAGCGGCTTGTTGCTGTACTGAAGCAGAGCTAGAGATGTTTTGCACATTTCTTAAAACAATTAAGCCTGATTGAGAGGACTGTTACTTCATTTAGTGTAGCTGAGTGAGGTTAAATGAAATGCTGGTCTGTATTCATATTACTTGAACGCTTTTAAATGACTTGGCATCTAGCCCATCTGGAGCTTGTACCATGTGATTAAAAAGTGAAAAGTAATTCACAGCAGGCTTTCTGTTAATTTATTAATGTCTGCAGTGAAGAAATTACCAAATGAATATTTTTCCTGCGTTTTTTTCTCTCTCCTCCCCCCCGTTTAATTGAACTGTATTGGTACCCAGGTTCTGTTTGCTTCCTCACTTTTCTTGACTGTCCATGTTTATTACTTTGAAAAAGCTATTGTGGAAATCGGTAATGTGATGGTTTCTCACTTTTGTAAGTGTAATGTTTTCCTCTGAAAATTTAGTTATGCAGAAAGCTGTTCTTGTTACAGAAGGGTTTTTTGGTGGTGTTCCTTCATCATCTTTATATGTTAGCTTAGGCTAATTTCATTTGTATAAATGATTTGGTGATGTCACTGATATCGAAAAGTCGGTCATGGTTTTCCTGCCCCTCAGTTTTTCCCACGAATCTAAGTTGAAGATTTATTGATTCTCTGAGGTGTTAAGGCTTTTTTTTAAATGAATATGTTTCTAAATATCTGCAATTAATGGAAAAATTACTGCAGTGTTGAAATCCAGGCAATGCATTGCATCGTAATCGATCATAAAAAATACGTATTTAAATATGCCTCTGATTTTGTTGAACTAAAAGCTGAGAAGTTGTATTCTGGTTATTGAAGTTATCTGTAAATCCTCGGGTAAGATGGGACAGCAAAAGATAGGTAAATAAAATATGCATTAAAATAAACTCATTGGACACCTTTCATACAGTTCAGTAGCAAAATTATTTTTTCCAGCTTAGAAGCCCGCCAGAATATTAGCCTTTTAATAAATGCTGTCTTGGTGGCACTGAGCAGGAGGAGAAGACAGTGCTTCCTAGGATAGCTGACAGCTCCTCCTGCCTGTAGGTGCAGCTCTCTAAAGAGGTAACTTTCTGGATGTCTTCCTTTAAAGTCTTCTGGAGCTCGGCGCTAGAGATCTGTATCACGTAAAAATCTAACTACCATGGTTTTATTTAGACCCCCCTGAAGCCTCCTGACAGCTTCTGCTTGGTTTGAGGGGCAAAGCAGAATAGGACAGATAAAACTGAATTTCCTCCTGCTGCTTTGGTCTGAGTTTAGCTGTCAGCTTCTGTGAAGTGCGGCTCTGGTATCATTTACAAGATCAAGGTTTGATGAGCTGCCTAATACTGAGCTTGTTTTGAATCGGCCCGAGAGGTGACAAGTAAAAACATTAGGTTGCTGTGTGCAGACTTGTAGGCTTGGTTAGAAAGTAAAAATTTAGTAAGACTTCTGTGCATCTTAGCAAGTAGCTCCTCAGGGAGGTGGTGCTTGAAAAGTTTCCACTTTGCTGTACGCTAGCAACCTCGTTTTACTCTAGAAAAAAGCAAAAACTGATCCCCAGCCCTACACAGGAACAGTGTTAAAGTTTTTTAAGTGAGAAGAGCTGTGATGAGACCAATGCTTTTGACATTTACGTTGCTGATGCGTGTGTTTTCAACTGTGGAAGGAACTTGTCCAGGTGTGCCAAAGGTATTTTTGTCTTCAAGTTCTTCATATAAAAATTGTAACTTTTCGGTGCAAGAACCCCTCATCGATGATTCCCCCCCCTTCTTGCTAACTTCAAAACAATGGCAAGTTGAAACTTCTAAAATTACTATATTCACCCCCAGATGAAAACTTTGACAGGATAAAACATCCTTGTAAAGTGCTTGGGTTTTCTTCTTCCCCGAAACGTGGATCAGTTGCGAAGGAAGATTGAAGCGATTACTGCACAGCTTGGACAGCATAGCTTTTTAAACTGTGTATCTCTGGCTAGAGAGGCCGGGTTATCTCTTTATCTTTATGCGGGCAAAATTTATACACACGTTAAGTACATAAATGCCATAAGGTGAATTGTTGCAATATTTGGTCATAAGATGGGAAGAAATTGCAGCCTTGAGGTGTTTTGGAGAACAGCATCTCTTCAGATTAAGCGAATCCTTTGTAAATAATCTATTATCTGTGTTTAAAAGCAGCAGGTGGGAGTTCGGAGGAGTTACGTGATTATGTTCAGAATTATTTCAAACACTGTCATGGGGTTTGAGTTCCCTTAAGGTAGCTGTTACATGAAGTTGATAATAGTGTGTGTATTGAGCAGTGTTATTCAAAAGGATTGAGAGAAATTTTTCTGAACTGATGCTTAAATGATGTCAGTTATGGCTCATCCTCGCATCTTGGCTTTTAACTTCCCAGTAAATGTTTGAGCAATCAATTTAATTTTGTTTCTTGTTTGTGTTGGATTTTTTTATGTGTTCTTTTAACCCTTTGCTATTTCTTCAGTATTCTTCTTTATTTTAACATGTTCTGCCACCCTCATCGCCTAACTTTGCATACTGCCAAATTGTTACTTCCCCTATTGTAATAATCTCCATGTTCTCCAGTATATTTCTTTTAACTGTCCTACAGGCAAATAGTTAAAGGAAGGAGCTGTAATGAACAATGTGGATTTTATGTGTGTACTTTCTGTACCTCTGTGTACATGGGGTTGCGCTTTGGCATAGGCTGTCATCTTTTTGATAGCCTGTAGTCCTGTCGTCGGTGGGATTGTGGTTATGATCAGAAAGGTGCCTGGCTGGCAGCGTTTAGGATCTGGGTTGCTTTAAACTTGCTTTAATCGTAAGGAGGATTACAAGAATCATGCCGACCCATTCCTCAGTCCCAAAATCCAAAAAAAAATGTTCAGGTTTCATCTGGAGATCTGACCGTATTACGTGTCTAATAGTGTTTAAAAAAACCAAATGCATTTGAAATGCTAAGCAACGGAAGCATCCCCCAAAGTGTATGTCGGTGGGATCTGTGCTGCAGATACGCATTTTGTGTAATGAAATGGGAGTATATGTCTGGAGCTCTACATTTGTTGTGTACAGCTCCCATAAGAGGGCATAATAATAATACAGTTGGACTTGATGATCTTTGAGGTCTCTTCCAACCATAATGATTCTGTGATTCTATAAAGAGTGACGTGACTATGTTCTGTGCTCAGTTTCTATCCTTGGTATCAACAAAACTATTTTTTATCCCTTATGGTATTCTACTTGATACTCTCTCAAACTTCAAACTTTGAAGGCTCTTTTGCCCATATGTGGATTTTTTTAATGTTTTGAAGGCTTTCATCTCTTACTACCCCTTTGAATTGGGTGTTTCTTTAAAAGGAAGAAGGCAACTTCATTGGATAAGGTGCTTTGTGTTAACTGCTTTGCTTCTTAGCAGGCTCAACTTCCAAAGTTCAGATGCTGACTAGCTTGTAACAGGCTTACCCAGCACGGCTGATGGCTACTCCAGGCTTGGTGGCTCCATCTTGGGTGTACATACTCCGTCTAACCTTTCTTCTCAAAGACTTGAGCGCAGATAATGTTTCTTTAAGTCCCATCTACCAGCTTAACCTGCGCCGTATCACTTCTGACCCAGAGAAAGCATCAGCAATGTGATCAGAGCTGTGAAAACTGCCACACTTTTCCCTAGCAGAGGCTAGAGTCGAGAGGGCTCTGGAATTCAGAGAAAGGGAAGCACTGGGTGCACGTGCAACCCCAGCAGGCCTGCCTCTGTCCCTGATGTATGAGATTCGTGGACAAAGCTCAATGCAGCACGTGCGAGTCTCCAGTTATGTGCAACAGTCATGCAAGTAGGAGCCTAAAAATTTGCGTGTCTGAAAGTGTCAAGGAAGCTCCATACGGCTTCAAAGGCTGCAGTCATAGCATACCTATTAAAGAAAGATAAGTTCATACCAGTCCTGAAACTGGTGTGGGTATTTGAGCCCTATGAAGAGTACAGGTTATAATCAGAAGAGAAGATCTAGATGTGTTTTGTCTACTGAAATGACTCCCAGTCGTTGTGTTTCAACCTGGAGTCCTGTTGTTTCAAGGCAGAATTGTTCTCGTTTTCATTTCTGAACTGCATTTTCACTTGCGTCATGTAAGGGCACATCATTTTGCCTGCAGAGAGCAGCTCCAAGGAAAATTAAGGAGGGCATGCACTTCTTGCTTTCTTTTCCCCTTACCCCCAACATCTGATCTAGCTTGTTCCTTTACAGCGTGCCATTTTGGCTGTATTAGAGCTCTACTGATTGGATTGTTTATATCTGATTACTGACGTTCATGCCTAGGCAAGTCATCCTGGCAGACTAATACGGTGTGGTTTGCTGCGCCACTAGGTAGCTAGAGTGGGTCTCTTACAAAGCGGTGAGATAGACATTGATGCAACTCCAGTCTTCAGAAATGTGCCATTTTCCAGGATCTGTGAGGGGAAAACTGGCTGCCTGTTTTTTTGTTAGTTCACCTAATTCCAAGAACGAATGCCAAGTTGGAGAGCAGTAGCATAATCTCTGCTTGATATAAGTGGTCTCCATTATAATATTCAGTGGTGCTTTCCGTTGCCTGTGGTGGTCTTGTAACTGGAGGAAGAATGCTTGCTTAGGTTGCGCTAGCCAAGGGTCCTTGAAATGTCCTTGTGATTCCCATCACCTGTAGCACCCATGTTGTTGTTAAGGCATCTTGACATGTGTTTTGAGTTCAGAGCCAATTGGATGAAGGTCATAGCTGTCTACTCTTTATGTGTTTGTGTGGGAGCTGTTAATAATACAGCGTTAAAAAGTAATAGTGTATTGCATTACTTGCTTGAATGTCTCCCTCGAGAATCACGCTGACTAAAACGTACTGATGGACTACAGTTACCATAGGGTAAGTAATTGTTTTTCAGTAAAAGAACTGATATTTCAGTGAGCAACTTTATACATCTGCAACAAAACACTTTTTCGGTATGTAGCCTCTAGCTATAGTTTTATATCATAAAGGTGATGGATATACATGATTTTCCCGTATGTTGATCTGTATATTCCAAGGTGTGACAGATGTTGGGAGTGCCTCAGAGACTTGTCTTGAACTCTTGTCTATTTTTCTTTTTCAGATGTGCTGAAAGACATTATGACACCGCCAAATTTAACTGCAGAGGTACGTTTTTACTGTCTAATATGTATCATTCTCTTTAAACTTCAGTGTTTCTGAATGAAGGTATAAAGGAGGAACTGATAAATAGTAATGTAGGAGATCTGGGCACAAGGAGTGATGGCAGATTGCTTTGAGTCAGTGGAAAAACTTGATACAGTCTTGATGCTTTTAAAAAAGAAGGTTCCTGACAGTTAACCAGATCGAGATCTAATAAAGCAGTTGGAAGTCTACTGTTGCAAAAATTTTTGAAGAATGGGTTATATAGAAGTTTCTGTTCAATTCAGTGTGCAAGCTTATTGTAAAATTTAGGTACGAAGCTTAGAGAAGTCTGTTTTTTTTTTTTTTCAGAAGCATCACTTAGAATAAAAATGGAGAACACTTACACCACTGTCACTATTCATATAAAAAAACTTTTTTAAGATCTGGAGCAAACCTTCAGTTGCTTAAAAAAAAAAAGAAAAAATAATTAATTGAGATGAGTTGGTTCTTAAACACTTCTGAGAGCTTTCCAGAACCAGTGAGGAAACTTTTAGGGGCTCCTTTTAATCAGACCCTTGGTGAATGGAAACTGATGTACCTGTTTGGTCAGTAGTAACTCCTCAGGTAATGAATAAATACAGATTTAGGTTTATTCTTTGTGCAGAGGAACATCTCTGTGCACAGTAGTAGAGCTTGTAGTTCCTCTTCATGCAATGCTTTAAAATGGCTGGGTAGATAAGGAGTACTTGTGTGTATGTAATTGTAGGAGACGAATAAATTTTGGCCTTACTGGCTAATACTACATCATAGCAAGGGCTCAGCTGCTTTTTAAAATTATTATTATTATTTTAAAGCATCCTTCTGGTTGTAAAGAGGGTCTTTAGAACATGACCAAAATGTAATTGGCTGCTTTAATGTCTGAATATAGAAGGACTGAAATTGTCATGTTGAAGTCATCTTCGCTTCTGATTTGCTCTTACAATACTGAATGACAGTGTCCTGAAACTTCACTCAATACGTACAAGCTAGAAGAAAAAGTATTTTAAGATCTGCTTGAGCAATACGTTGGGTAAGAGGAGAAAAGGCGTAAATGAAAAGGACGTGCTTCTAATATGTCCAGAACGTATGCTTGCTTTAACTTACGCTTTTTATTACAGAGGTGCTCAGATCCCTTCACTGTCAGTCCCAGACCAAAATGTTGTTTATGACGGCTGCCTTTCACAGCTCCTCTGCATAAGACAACACTGTTGTAGGGCGCTACGTGTTGCATTTTTTTCTTTTCATCTCTGGCCTTAGATAACCACATTGGTGACTCAAGACTTCCCTTAGCAGAGGAACAACAGTTCTACTCTAAAGTCTTCTGAAGTGAATTAATTTCAAAGGGAACTTCTTATTTGTACACTTAGCATGAAACACCATAGTAATTCATTATTCAGCTTGGATGCTCTTGCACCAAATTTGAAACCAAACATTGAAAGCTCTTCATCTTCTTTGGACACCAACTTTCTGTCTAGGGTTTTCGCAGTTTCTGAAACGCTTCCATGCTGGAAATTGCCTTCTGCTTTGCCACATGTTTTCCTTTTTATTTTTATTTTTCGGTCCTTTATGTGCTATGGGATTTTTCTTGCAACATCTAGGAGCTTGGAAAGAGTAATCGGAACTGTTCTCTGTGCTGTCTGCTCCAGTTAGGGACCAAAATCCATGGAGGACCCGCGCCCTCTCAAGAACCTGCTTAAGGTTGTGCAGCTTAATGTTTCCTAAGGTTCATTTCTGACTCTTAATCCCCCTGGACCATCATAGGGCACTTATTTCATCTGCTCCTCGTTCCGTCTTTGAAGAAAATACGGCAAGGTTTTCCTTTGATGCCGGATCTTGGAGAGCATCTTCAGCGTGCTGTTACTGCTTGGGATTTTTCAGGCTGTTCTTTCAGGACTACTTTGTATCTCCTTTTCACAGGAGACTTACTGGATATAGTTAAGATAGACTCGAAAGTTGTGCAGTCAAATTTGCAGCATCTCCTAACAGCTTCTTTTCTTAGGCGTTTCTAAATAAATTCCTCCTTTCATTTACATCTGCTGCAAAAAGTGACATGTCTGTAAGTTCACTTAAAAGGATTATTTGGGGAGTCTTTGAATCTTCCATGTGGAGGAATTTATTAGTGTGTGTTCACGTTCGTTAACGTTTGCTGCTGCTTTAGCAAAGATTATTCACTTTATCGGGCTTCCCTATTTGGTGTTCTGGGAGATTAAGTGGGCGGTCTGTACTATGAGTGAATAAACTGTGCTTGCGGATCTCTCCAAAAGGCTTCAGATTTGTGCTGCAGCAATTTAGCAGTTCCATAACTTTACCCCTCACTTCTGCTCTTTAAGTCCTTGGGGATTCATCAAAAGGAGCCTTGCGTGTGTGACGAGAGTAGTACTTACGAAACGAATACAAACACTTGCCAAAAAATGAAATGTATTCATTTTTAGACCAGAAAAGGAAATGGTGTTTCTAGCTGAGAATTTTTAAGTGAACCGGAGTTGTATTTATAAGATCCTAAGTCTGTCGCTTGAGAATTGGGGTGCACTTGATAAAGTGCTGTTCTCCTGACGAAACTAGTACAGCCCTATGTAATTCTGCCAGTCACCATGGCATTGTCTGTCATCTGATCTGAGGTGCTAGAGGTTTGGGTGCCTGTCCCTACTTACTGCTTACTTTTTGCTCTTTTGAGTTTTCTTTCATTTCCTGCATGCTCGCTTGAAATTCTTTCCATCTCTAGATGGAAAAAAGTGTTTCTTATACAAATATATAAGAAAAAAGGACAAATTCGTTCAGTGGTTTGACTTTAAAACCCAGAAGTATTGCAAGTGCCTTACATGAGATTTCTTTTTCAATTACCACTTTTTAATATGGAAATTGCAGTTTTTTGTCTCAGAACTCCTTTAAGCAAATTCTGAGAGTTTGTTGCCAGTGTAGATCCAACTGTGGTCAGAATTTTTCAGCAAAATTCCTATTGTCTGATCAGTGACTGAGGTCTGGCCCTGTTTTCTCGCAGCAGGTAGTCTAATTATTGCTAGAGTAATGGGTTGTCACAAGGTTATTCTTTGTGCCAATGCACTTTGAAATTCTAGAAAATTTGTGATGTAAGATACAGAGTCAGTGCCACTCATTTCAGTAGCGGTGTGAAATAGTCTCTTCATGTAGCAGGATGCTTGCTTATGTATTACTAGAGAAATGTCTGCAATGCATATATGTAGGACATTGCTGAATAATACTGGAATAAAACATTTATATACCTATATAAGACAGGGTTTTGTTTAGAAAGTTAATTTTTTGCATGCTTGTCACAAAATTGACCTGTCTAGTTGAGCTTGCTGTAATTTCCTTTTGAGATTTGATAAATTACTACTTCTCATTGCAGTTGCACAGTACCCTTTTGAAGACCATAACCCACCACAGCTAGAGCTTATCAAACCTTTTTGTGAAGATCTTGACCAATGGCTAAGTGAAGATGACAATCATGTTGCAGCAATCCACTGTAAAGCTGGAAAGGGACGAACTGGTGTAATGATATGTGCATATTTGTTGCATCGAGGCAAGTTTTTAAAGGCTCAAGAAGCCCTAGATTTCTATGGGGAAGTAAGGACCAGAGACAAGAAGGTGAGCTATTTTCTGTTCTACCTGTATCTTTATGCTTTTCCTGTTTGAGGTCAATTTGAATAGTCAAACCCTTTAAGAAATACTTTCCATCTGCTGCGATATCTGGTTTGATTTAGGTTTAACTTTATTGGATCAGTGCAGTTGTTCTAAATGAAAAAGCTTTCCTAAGTAGCAGTAGCAATTAGTCACAACACTGAAACAGTCTGGTTTTTCCATCTCCTGTTCAAGAAGATCTGGACAGTTTATTTTAAACAGCCTTTTAAATAGCATTCTGCTGTGTGTTGCATCAAATGGGTGGTTGATGAGTGAACTTTCTTGTTCAGCATTTTCAGCCCAAATAAGAGGATTATTCTAGCTTGTTTTGCCTGAATGGATGAGTTGTTCATCTCCTCGGGTTCTCTTGACTTCTATGGTGATGTGTGGAGATGCATAGTCATTACAGCACGTGTTACAGTTGAATATCCCTACTGGAAGAGTATACTGGAAGAGTCTGTTGTAAAGTCTTCTTTTTCAGTGAAAGGGTAGTTGAGTCCAGACATTGGCTGTGTCAGAGCCTGCTTCGTGAGGTGCTGCCGTTTAGTTTCTTTTACTTCTGAGGAGGAGAAATGGGAGGATCTCATTTCAGAGAAATGATGTTCATGGCTACAAGAACTTTCTGTTAAGACCTTGTCAGTGGTACAGACAGATTTGGCAGTATCTGTATGGTAGAACTTTCTGGCATGGTTATGCCTCATTAATGGGAATTTAACCTCCTTATTTGAAATCTTCTCCAATCATAATAAGATGTGACTTGCAAGGGCACTTCAGCAACCTTCCCTTCTCATCTTCATTCATTTCCCTGTCTATGTTGGTAGAGCAGCCCAGGGGGATCATCCTGGCAGGCCAGTTTCAGCCTACTTAAGTACAGAGCGCTCTCTGTTCCTTTAATATTTGCATAAAGTATTCATTTCACAGTGTGTAGACCCCTAAAAAGCAGAGCTTCGTATTTGAAGGCTCTTGAGAGCGGAATTTGGCTGTTAATTCATTGGAAGGAGCAAAGAACCTCTTAGTTCGCTCTCTTTACAAGATGGAGCTGTTATTCCATGTACTGCTGAGAAGATAAGTTGTGGTGTAATTCCAGAGCAGAGACAGTGTCAAGGTTTCCCATCAAAACTTTGTGGCTTTTGGTAAGAGTTCACGATAGTGGAATAAGCTGTGTGATGAATAAACAATGCAGATTATTCCTACTGATAAAAATAATCTAAAAAGCCGGATAAAATACCATGAAAACTACAAAACTGATCAAATACATGGTGAAGCATGTTGTACCTCAGTTTCCCTTTTGTAAAAAGAGGGTAGTGTTTCTGCATGTTACTGTGTTGAGGGTAAGGTCAGTTAGGTGTTCTTCAGTACCCCAGTGGTACCTCTGGCATGTTTGAGGTTAGCAAGAGCTTAGTAAACAGGAATAGCAAGAACCTTGTTTAGCTTCACTGTAAATATTGTCTGTAACCAGCAACTTTGTTTTGGTTTTGATGTCTCTACTGGAAGAGTAGAAATAATTTTTTTTTTTCTCTCCCAGCTCCGCTTGAGCATGATTATCTTTATGTGGACATCGGGCGGCATGTGATTCACGTAATCCTTAAAAAGTAGTGCTTATAAACAGGTATTCCAGTGCAGGTTCTGTGAGCTTTTTTCTTCCCTTGTGGCCTGTATTTCAGTGTTACGTGTCAAGTGCTGCTCTCTGATTCGACACTCTGCCACACTTTTATATAACTGACTTCGTGAACTCAAAAGTAAATGAGGCATCAGAAGAGCTGTTTGCACCTAGGGACAAGAAAATCCACCCCCCCCCCCCCTTTTTTTTTTTTTTGTTGGATCCAAATA